TGGACAGACGCTAGGCTTGCCTTGGGGAGGGGCCGCACCAAGGGAAGGTCTGGGGTGGAAGGCCTGGCCCTTCCCCCCATCAGCTTCCAGGCTGCTCAGGAAGGCTCCATGAAGGTCAGGCCAGGTGAGCGGGCCACGGCACCCAGTGAGAGGGGGCTAAGGCCCTGGGCCGAGCTCTGTCTTGGACCGCTGTGTGGCTTAGGATGCTAGGGAACCTCTCAGAGCAAACCTGGCTTCCTCATCTGTAAACCTCAGCTGCTCCTCGCTGCCGCTGCGTGGTCAGACCAGGCCCCGGCCCGCTAGCCACGCCTCCTCTGCCCCTCGGAGTGCCGTGTAGGGTGGCCGTCTGTCTGCTGACAGGGGTCTGGGTCCCATCCCCGTCATTGCAGTGATCAGCGTGAGCCGCCCCCTGGACTATGAACAGATACCCAACGGACTGATCTATCTGACCGTCATGGCCAAGGATGCAGGCGACCCGCCTCTGAACAGCACTGTCCCCGTCACCATCGAGGTGTTTGTAAGTACCCAGGGGCCCTGGCCTTCCCCTTCCAACACCGGTGGTGCATGCTTGCCCTGGGGGCCCTGGGCCTGCCTGCGCTCAGCAGCGAGGACTGTCCCCACGTTTGCTGATTGACCCCACAGCCGAGGCTGGCCCCATGCAAACCTGCCATTGCTACACCAGGGGAGGCCCTAGAGTCTGGAAGTTCAAGGAGAGGCCCATCCCTCTGCCCTGATATCACCTGTGGGGCTCAGGACCCCCTCCAAGCTGAACAGGGGCCGGGGCCAAGCAGGGGGAGCAGGATTGCAGGACTTAGAGCCACACGTGGTGAAGTTCGAGGAAATTACTGGAAGGTTAGCTTTTCTCTCTTATCTCTCACTCTATCCACCGCAACCCCCTTTTTTCCTTGTTCATTTCCACTCCTCTGAAGATCTACAGGGGCCTGCAGCCCCACCACAGCTTGTCTGACATGAATATCAAGCACACCTTAGCGTTCTCGTGTCGAGACTGATCAGCCACTGAATCCATCTCCACACTGGCTCATTGCCTCCAGGCTGTTCCCCGAGCGGTCTCAGTATGTGGAGCGTGGTCTGACAGCCAGCCGTGCCCCCCTGAGGCCCCCCACAGACGGGAGCATGGCTGTAGGCCACCCCTCCTACAGCAAGCAGGTGTATTGAGGGAAGAGCAAGTGGGTCACCCTTAGGTCCCTAAGGACCCGCTCAGTGGCAGGCCAGGGGACACACAGGTTTGACGCAAGCTCAGGAAGAGCAGGCTTGCTGGAGAGCCTTCCTGTCTCACACCAACAGCCTCCAGCGCTGCCCACACCCGGCTTTTCACCAGCCTCGTCCTCTGGACCTGAGACCCAAAAGCTCCTGGGCCTCCGCTCCCCGGGGAGGGGCCTTTGCTGGGGCCCCTGCATGCTGACTGGGTGAAGCTGGAAGGGCTGGGAAATCAGAGACGATGGCCAGGGGACAGCCTCCTGATAGGTGTGTGGGTACCGGGGTCTCTAGGTGTGTGGCCTCTGAAGAACAGGTGCTTGCCTCCACAGAAGAGCACCATCAACCTCCCACCCTCACTTAAAATGAACAGGGTGGCCCCAAAGAGTGCCCCCTGCCACTGACGTCCCAGTCCTTGTGTTCTGAGAACCGCCCTGAGCCTGGTCCCAGCTCCCAACCCACCCTGAGCCCGAGCCTGGCCCCACTCAGAGTCTGGACCAACCCCACCCTCCCTCTTGTCTTGGGCACCTGACACGTTGGGTGGCTCACACTCAGAAACGAAGGGGCTGTTCTCGCGGATCTGGAGGCAGCTAGGTTCAGAGCAGGGCCTAGGCCTTGTCCATTCCTTTCGGGGCCTCTCTCTGCTTTCTGGTGGCCGCTGTCCCTCTGTGGCATCCACCCTCCACCCATGTGCCTCTGCATTGGCCTGCCCTTCCATAGCCCAGGAGGGTTTCCCACAGCAGAAGAGAGCGTCCACAGGCCCAGGGCGGGTCTTCAGATTACCCTGCCCTCCCCCACCCCGTTGGAAGAACCCAGTGGGACCCAGGGTGCTCTCTCGGCCAGCCTCCCGCTCTCTGTCCACGGCAGGGCTTCCCCCATGGGCAAGACTCCAAAGCAGGTCCTGGTGGATCTGAAGACAGGAGGAACCTTCCCCCGCCCCTGCCCCCCGCCCTCCCCCCAAGGAGGCGATGTGAATAGAGGAATGTGTGTGGCTTGGGAGGTTGGTGGGTTTGGAACCTGGCTCTGCCACC